CATACACAATAACTTGGATAAATATACCGACAAAAACATACCTCTCAACCATGGGGTAATTAAATAATAATGCTCCCCAAATGGAAGACACGTGGAAAGAAAGATCTCAAGCTAAATCATTATAATCTACAGATCAATTCTGTAAACCATAATTTCTCATCTCTGGAGATAAATAAGGAGAATCTTAGTTTGACACGCTACACTTGATATCTAGAACAAAATTTAAGAAATGATATTGTAAGGAACATTCCAAATAAGCTGTTTTGGTTATGAGACAAACAAAAAAATCACCTTTTTCTCCCTTCATTCTGGACCACCAGTCACACACGTTTAACTTGGTACTTTTCTATCCAGACAAGCAGAAGACACTCTGTCAACTACGACAATTTGATCAATTCACTACAGTGAGTAACCGGGATGACAATGTCTAGTGATTTCTATATATATTAATATCAATAATTAAGAATACAATCTGCCACTTCCCATCAAAATCATAAGACTTTAGGACATCCTATACAGTTCCACAATTTACACAGTCTCTGCAACCTTCAAACCTATGTCCTATGCTTCATCAATTAGTGCTGTCCCAAGAATGTGATACAGACTTATATTTTGAAAGATTTTTTCCAAAGAAAAACATTTGTATTAACATTTCTAATTTTGCTAATTCCTTAATCCCTTGTCTTCTCAAACCTAACTTTCTCCAGCCCAAACAGATTAACTAATGAAGGTCTGTAGAGATTAGCAAATAAGAACTTGGACTTGACAGTTCAAATCTGGGCTTAGTCATCTATAGCATATACTCAACCTACAGTTTTTTCATCTGGAAAATAAGGAAAGCAAACTCCTTTAGAAGATTACTTTGCATACTAAATGATTTAATACGTAGTAAGCCTTCAGCATTGTGCCCACCAACATCAAACCTCTAAATTTGATACAACAATAAGGATCATGTTGAAGGGGGAAAGAGGACAGATAGAATCCAAACTATTTAAGAATTTATGATCCAATTCAAAGTTTGCCCATGTTTTGCTCCTACTTGGAAGATATTTACAATTTGTCAAGACTATAATAACATCAGCAAAATTCAAGACAGCTACCTTAACTAAACACACAAAGTCCAATTTGGACTATTTGGTTATTCCCCACTAGTAATATCAAGAGGAAACTGGGAGAGGAATAAAATGATTATTTTCATATGGCAGAAGAGTGGCAGGGTTCGAAAGAGCATGGCCCTGGGAACCAGGAGGCCTACTTTTGGCCCTGTCTCTTCTTTGGCTAGATAATCAGAGCAAGTCACCTCCCTACCCTAGGCAATCCGCCAAAGAGGGGCTCAGACTGGAAGGTCTCTAAGAGTCCTCACAGAATTAGCATTCCATCTCCTCATGTGGAAAAAGGAAACAAAAGTGCTGCATGAATGCCAATGCAGCAGCAAATGATGTCTTCAGGTCTGGCCTTTTAGGCCTCTAGTAGCCAGAGTCTTGTGTGCCACACTCCTCTTTTCCATCTGATAGCTCACCATCCACCATAACCCAATACAAAACTAATGTTAAAACTAAGAACTGAAAGTGGCCTTCCTGAAACCCAGTAATGCAAATATTTATATACAGTTGAAAGAAATTCAAGCTTACCATTCTCTCTTATCATTACTTCAAAAGAAGGGAAGCAAAAGAAGGAGGAGCCATTTGAGAATTTAAGTGTCAAGGAAATATTTTTCTGGTTCAAGTAGAACAAAAGAAGTTTATAATGCATAGAACCCCAAACTAAATTGAAAGCAATGAGTGACACACAGAAACTATTTACAGATGGAGGGAGGTAGATTATAAGAGACAGTGGTCACTCCAGTTCAAGGTCATTCACATTTGAGAGGTTAAATATACACATGCAAATACTGATAAATAGGAGAACATGAAGAATCACTGAAAGACTAAAATGAGATAACATACTGCAGAATTACAAATAGTTCCTGCTGATTTTTATTAAATAACTCCAGAAATAAAATAATCAGGAGTTAAGGATATGGCTGGTAGTGTGTTACTGACTGTAGCCCATGTTGGGCAGAGTGATTAGGATGATTTCAAGTAGGGACTCCTGTCTCTACTAGATCAATGAAAGTCATTTTGGGCATTTCTGGTAAAATATTGGAAAGAAAGCATTTTTTTTTATTGGACTTGAAGCAGAGAGTTACCACATAGAGAACGACTGCCAGCCTTTTCAAAACCAATATGCCTGAAGCATGGTCCCTGTGGCATTCAATTACAAGTACCATTAAATTATTTTTTGTGCTTAAGTCAATGTGCTATTAAGACTTCCCTACATAATAAGACCAGGAAACCTTTATCTTTGCCTGGCCTTCAGGGTGGTCAAATGAGTTGTAAAGATTATTATTAAATGTCATAATCATTAACATAAAAAAAACTCCAAGAAACAAAGTCATAAGTGTAACAATGGACTGACCCACAGATATGTATAGAAGAAAAAGTGACTGGGCGCGATGGCTCACAACTGTAATCCCAGCACTTTGGGAGGCTGAGGTGGGTGGGTCACCTGAGGTCAGGAGTTCGAGATCAGCTTGGCCAACATGGCGAAACCCCGTCTCAACTAAAAATACAAAAATTAGCCAGGCATTATGGCAGGCACCTGTAATCCCAGCTACTCGTGGGGCTGAGGAGAAGAATCACTTGAACTCAGGATGCGGAGGTTGCAGTGAGCCAGGATCGCGCCACTACACTCCAGCCTGGGTGATAGAGCGAGACTCTGTCTCAAAAAAATAAATAAATAAAATAAAATAAGAAAAGAAAAAGTATTCTTGGGTCATACGTATTAGGTCATCCTGGTACATATATATGTACTTCATATTACAGTACTTTAATACAAGAATGTTAGAGAAGGCAATTGCTAAGTGACAGCTGGGAAAGGATTTTTTTGTATTTTTTAAGAGACAGGGTCTTGCTGTATCACGCAGGCTGGTGTGCAGAGGTGTGATCATAGCTTACTGTAACCTAGAACTCCTAGGCTCAAGCGATTCTCCCATCTCAGCCTCCCGAGTAGTTAGGACGTTTGTAACGTGTGCCACCACATATAGCTAATTTTTACATTTTTGCAGAGAACAGGTTTTACTACATCGCCCAGGCTGGTCTTGAACTCTTGGCCTCAAATGATCCTCCTGACTTGGCCTCCCAAAGCATGGAGATTACAGGCATGAACCACCACACCTGGCCTCAGAAAGGATTTTAAAAGGAATAAATGAGATAAGAATTGAAAAGTCTTCTAAAGAAATGTGTAATATAATAGTTGAGAACATAACAGTTGAGTGATCTATTTAGTAGAATATATTATTGGGAATGGGGGGATCAACTCTAAGAATAATGTTTCTTATATTCTAGCATGTGCAAAACTCACCTGGGAGCCTATTAAAATGTATATCCCAATGATCCCCCAGGAAAGACTAATAATAGTTGGTTTGGAATTCATGACTGTGCCCACACCTACCCATCCCCCAACTCCAGATGGAGGGAACACACAGGAAAAAACCACCAAATCAGCACTGTTTAGGAGGAGAGGAGGCTTTTCTAGACATGTGGAATCTTTTCAATATCAAGCAATTTGTTGAAAAACAAGAGTTTTCAGCCATTAGACCTTGCAAGAATAAACTCATCTCTTGGAATAATTTCTGAAACCTGTAAGACACCTGAAAAAAAGAGTCAGTTTTCAGAGTACAAGTCCTTGACATCCATGATTAAGTTTATTCCTAAGTATTTTATTATTATTTTTTTTTGAGACGGAGTCTCACTCTGTCGCCAGGCTGGCGTACAGTGGCACGATCTTGGCTCACTGAAGACTCCGCCTCCTGGGTTCAAGCGATTCTCTTGCCTCAGCCTCCCAAGTAGCTGGGACTACAGGCGTGCAGCACCATGCCCAGCTAATTTTTATATTTTTAGTAGAGATGGGGTTTTACCATGTTGGCCAGGATGGTCTCGATCTCTTGATCCACCTGCCTCGGCCTCCCAAAGTGCTGGGATTACAGGCGTGAGCCACCATGCCTAGTCCCGCATTTCATTCTTTTTGATGTTATTGTAAATGAGACTGTTTTTTCAATTTCCAATAGAAAAGAAAATATCTCATTATTAACATACAGAAATTTCATTGGAAATGCAATTGATTTTTGTATGTTGATTTTTAATCCTGCTACTATGCTGAATTCATTTATTAGTTGTAACTTTTTTTTTTTTTTGGCAGGGGCTGGGGGTCTTATAGGGTTTTCTAGATATAAGATCATGTCATCTGCAAACAGAGATAACTTTACCTCTTGCTTTCCAACTTAGATATCTTTTATCTCTCTTTCTTGACTAAGTGCTCTGGCTACAGAAGCAGAAACTGCAATGGTGGCTGCCAATAGGGAGGTACTCATCAAAGGGTACAAAGTTTTGATTATATAAGATAAATCAGTTCTAGAGATCTGCAGTACAGTATCGTGTCTATAGTTAACATACTGTATTGTATTCTTAAAATTTTGCTAAGAGGAGCTGGGCATGGTGGCACAAGCCTGTGGTCTTAGCCAGTCGGAAGGCTGAAGTGAGAGGATTTGCTTGAGCCCAAGAGTTTGAGGCTACAGTACACTATGATTATGTCACTACACTCCAACCTGGGCAACAGTGAGACCGTGTCTCTAAATAATGAAATAAAATAAAATAAATTTTGCTAAGAGGGTAGAGTGCTCTTAATGATAAGAATAGAACAAAACTTTTGGAGGTCAAGGGTACAGATTTATAGCACAGATTGTAGTGACGGTTTCATAAGAGTATACTTATTTTTAAACTCATCAAGTTATATATATTAATGATATATAGTTTTTGTATGTCAAAATTAGAATATTGGAAAAACAAATTTTTTAAAAAGTCATGAAAATATTAACAATCAACTTCATGTATTTTAATGTAAGAATTCTTTTAACTAAAATATTTATTTACACATTGTCTCAGGTACCCACACAGCCTTACCTGAAAGTGTCTTTTGGTAAGAAATACATTGATGTCTCCACAAAGAAATAGCAGATCTCTCTCGATTCTGCAGTCCATTCAGTCTTTCTGCTAGTCCACCTCTGTTTAACGAATTATAATGTACTAAATTTAGTTAAAAGGAAAACTTCAGAATATTTGGAACATTTATATTGTATAACCCCCAACCAGAGACAAACAGATAAAACATGCAAAATTTTAATGCATATTTGTTACCACATTCTCTTCCTAGAGGCCATATCCTCATAAGTCAGTTTTTTGTTTTCTTAGAACCTTGGTGTTCTGATTCCTAGAAATATGGGCTAATACTATGTCCTAAAAATATCATATTCTTGGAAATATGATAGCTAGATATCAGTTTACCTCTTTTTCTATTCTTTCTTAGTTCACTTATTCAATCCTAAAACAAGTACTGCTTACTTACCACCTGCTATATGCTGGCACCTAGCACTTCGTTAGGTACCAGGGACACAAGGACAGCTATGAGTGCTGCCATGGAGGTGGGAAAGCTCCCAATGAGCTCAGCAGATGGGAGCAAACAAAGAATTGTAAAGTGGGCTCAGAGTTCCAGTCAAGAATAACCTTGCCAACTGTTGACAGAACACTCAAATAAGAGCACTTGGGTATGGGTCCCTGATTTGGACTCCAGAGATATTTGAGTATCAATCGAAAACACACAGCAAGGATACCAATGTTATAAAAAAGAAAACTTCCATGTGCAGCAGAAAGACAATTTATAATGATAGATATGTAGGCACTGCAGAAGAGCATTAACCTATCAATGAACACATATACTCACTGAGATATATTTATGCTTATAAATATATAGGTGAATGTAAATTACAAATATAAGTAAATACATATATATGTAGAGAGAAAGAGAAGTTATCAACTCCTAACATAACTATAATATCAAGAAAAATCAAGATCAGTTGTTAATTACCACTATAGCTACATGCTATATAGGTTATCAATGTATTATCTCATAAGTTTATTATCTTATTACCAATTCATTAATCATTTCACATTATCTTTATTCAAATAATATCCCTTTGAGGCAGAAAGAAGAGATATCAATACCCACTGCACAGACGATAAAACCAGAATTTAGAGAGAGATTAAGAAACTTCTCCAACATTACATAACTAGCCAGATGAGGAACAAGATGTTAAAACCAGAATGGACTTAGCACACCATGTGGCATTTAGTAAACTTTCAAAAAATGCCCACAATTGGTGTAACTGTTTTTGTTATGTTTTTTACTTGCAGCCTATATATAGCTCTTTCAATTATGATGGAAATATTTTAATAATATATAATATTGCTAGTATTAATACCTATAGAAAAACCTAGTATGTTTTCCTATAGGTTATTATTTCTGAATGACCTTGTGAGTAGCACATGTAACAGAAAAAAAGTTAAAACCTCTTATACTCAGAAATATGCCAAGGCACCTCTACATGTCAACCTCTACTTCCTATTAAGCCCTTCTTCATATCATTGTTTACATTAAGTAACTCGTTTATGCTTCCCCTTTACACAATACTGTGAAGTAGGTACTGTTATTATTCCATTTTATAGATGACAAACTGAGGCACCAAGATGTTAAACATCTGTCCAAGGTTAAATGTCTAATGAGTGGTATAGCTGGATGCACGCCTAGGCAGTCTGGCTCCAGAGTCCAAACTCATAGTCTTGAAAATATACTTAGAACCTCTTAAACAGTATTATTTAAAATGATATGCATAATAAATACAAGAAGCAAACGCTGTATTCTTTGCCCAATTATCTAGATAATTATTTGCCAAATGTTGCTTTTCAATGCTGTGACCTTACAGAAAAAAAAAAGGCAAAATGAACTCTGAAAATAGTATCTGGTTAAACTCAAGCCTAGAACCTCGTAAGAAAACTGTGGAGATTACAGGACAAAACGTAAAAGCAACAGTAAACATATGCACAGGAGCTCTCTACACATAGCGGTATCTGGAGCCCTCAGATAAAATCTGCATCTCCAGCTGAGTTTGGCCATTAGGGACTGTCCTGCAGGGAGTTCGGATCAGATGCACTTGAACTTAAGATAAGAAACACCATGTCCTCCAATTAACAATTCTATTTCTAGTAAAAAACCTATCTCATGTTAAAAAAATTAAGTCATACCAAAAGTTCAGGAAGGCCCTACCATCTATATCCAAATTAATTCTTTTGAACGTAGCCAGACAAGTTATTTATAAAGGCCAAACTCCAACAGAATAAAAATATGACGAAGGCACTGAGCAAGTTAAGATATCCTAATTATCTTTTCTATAAAATTAACAGATTGGAAACCTATCTCAAAAGATTACTGGTATCAATTTGACATTGGTAAACATTTCTACAAAATCAATATGGAGAATTAAAGAAGGATAAAGATTCAAAAATATTCCAACTCATTTCTAGTCAAGATATTTTTAATAAGCTCTACAACCAGATAAAGAATAAACAATTAGAATGACTGTAAATACAGTATTTTCAAGTTTTGCTTTTATTTTTATTTATTTTTATTATACTTTAAGTTCTAGGGTACATGTGCACAATGTGCAGGTTTATTACATATGGATACATGTGCCATGTTGGTGTGCTGCACCCATTAACTCGTCATTTACATTACGTATTTCTCCTAATGCTATCCATCCCCAATTCCCCCACCCCACGACAGGCCAAGGTGTGTGATGTTCCCCACCCTGTGTCCAAGTGTTCTCATTGTTCAACTCCCACCTATGAGTGAGAACATGCGGTGTCTGGTTCTCCGTCTCTGTGATAGTTTCCTCAGAATGATGGTTTCCAGCTTCATCCCATGTCCCTACAAAGGATATGAACTCATCCTTTCTTATGGCCACATAGCACTCCATGGTTTATATGTGCCACATTTTCTTAATCCAGTCTTATCACTGATGGACATTTGGGTTGGTTCCAAAACTTTGCTATTGTGAACAGTGCCGCAATAAACCTACATGTGCATGTGTCTTCATAGCAGCATGATTTAGAATTCTTTGGGTATACACCCAGTCATGGGATGGCTGGGTCAAATGGGATTTCTAGTTCTAGATCCTTGAGGAATTGCCACACTGTCTTCCACAATGGTTGAACTAGTTGACAGTTCCACCAACAGTGTAAAAGCGTTCCTATCTCTCCACATTGCTCCAGCACCTGTTGTTTCCTGACTTTTTAATGATCACCATTCTAACTGGTGTGAGATAGTATCTCATTGTGGTTTTGATTTACATTTCTCTGATGGCCAGTGATGATGAACACTTTTTTGTATAAGGAGTAAGGAAGGGATCCAGTTTCAGCTTTCTACATATGGCTAGCCAGTTTTCCCAACACCATTTATGAAATAGGGAATCCTTTCCGCATTTCTTGTTTCTGTCAGGTTTGTCAAAGATCAGATGGTTGTAGATGTGTAGTATCATTTCTTTCTTTTTTTTTTTTATACTTTAAGTTCTATGGTACATGTGCACAATGTGCAGGTTTGTTACATAGGTATACATGTGCCATGTTGGTGTGTTGCACCCATTAACTCGTCATTTACATTAGATATCTCTCTTAATGCTATCCCTCCCTTTCCCCACAATAGAACCCGGTGTGTGGTGCTCCCCTTCCTGTGTCCAAGTGACCTCATTGTTCAATTCCCATTTATGAGTGAGAACATGCGGTTTTTAGTTTTCTGTTCTTGCGATAGTTTGCTGAGAATGATGGTTTCCAGCTGCATCCATGTCCCTATAAAGGACAGGAACTCATCCATTTTTATGGCTGCATAGTATTCCATGGTGTATATGTGCCACATTTTCTTAATCCAGTCTGTCACTGATGGACATTTGGGTTGATTCCAAGTCTTTGCTATTGTGAATAGTGCCGCAATAAACATACGTGTGCATGTGTCTTTATAACAGCATGATTTATAATCCTTTGGGTATATACCCAGTAATGGGATGGCTGGGTCAAATGGTATATCTAGTTCTAGATCCTTGAGGAATTGCCACACTGTTTTCCACAATGGTTGAACTAGATTACAGTTCCACTAGAAGTGTAAAAGTGTTCCTATTTCTCCACATCCTCTCCAGCACCTGTTGTCTCCTGACTTTTTAATGATTGCCATTCTAACTGGTGTGAGATGGTATCTCATTGTGGTTTTGATTTGCATTTCTCTGATGGCCAGTGATGATGAGCATTTTTTCATGTGTCTGTTGGCTGTATGAATGTCTTCTTTTGAGAAATGTCTGTTCATATCCTTTGCCCACTTTTTGATGGGGTTGTTCATTTTTTTTCTTGTAAATTTGTTTGAGTTCTTTATAGGTTCTGGATACTAGCCCTTTGTCAGATGAGTAGATTGCAAAAATGTTCTCCCATTCTGTAGGTTGCCTGTTCACTCTGATGGTAGTTTCTTTTGTTGTGCAGAAGCTCTTTAGTTTAATGAGATCCCATTTGTCAATTTTGGCTTTTGTTGTTGTTGCTTTTGGTGTTTTAGACATGAAGTCCTTGCCCATGCCTATGGACTGAATGGTATTGCCTAGGTTTTCTTCTAGGGTTTTTATGGTATTAGGTCTAACATTTAAGTCTCTAATCCATCTTGAATTAACTTTCGTATAAGGAGTAAGGAAAGGATCCAGTTTCAGCTGTCTACTTATGGCTAGCCAATTTTCCCAGCACCATTTATTAAATAGGGAATCCTTTCCCCATTTCTTGTTTTTCTCAGGTTTGTCAAAGATCAGATGGCTGTAGATGTGTGGTATTATTTCTGAGGGCTCTGTCCTGTTCCATTGGTCTGTATCTCTGTTTTGGTACCAGTACCATGCTGCTTTGCTTACTGTAGCTTTGTAGTATAGTTTGAAGTCAGGTACTGTGACGCCTCCAGCTTTGTTCTTTTGGCTTAGGATTGTCTTGGCAATGCGGGCCCTTTTTTGGTTCCATATGAAATTTAGTTTTTTTCCAATTCTGTGAAGAAAGTCATTGGTAGCTTAATGGGGATGGCATTGCATCTATAAATTACCTTGGGCAGTATGGCCATTCTCACAATATTGATTCTCCCTATCCATGAGCATGGAAT